AGAAAGAAAGAAAGAAAGAAAGAAAGAAAGAAAGAAAGAAAGAAAGAAAGGGAAAGGAAAGGAAAGGAAAGGAAGGAAGGAAGGAAGGAAGGAAGGAAGGAAGGAAGGAAGGAAGGAAGGAAGGAAAATAAAGGGCCTCCTCCACTGAATGTAAGTATGCCTAGTATAAGAAAAATGCCCATAGGGGCCTCTGCATAAAATAGACAGTTGGGAACTCACTTAAAGTTGATGGCATTGTGATAATTATAAGAGAGACAGGTCAGACTCAAAGATCTCCTGTGCTGCATCCCCTTGAATGCAACCTGGAAGAAAAAAAAATTAAGGCACAGTTTTTTCATATGCCAAATTGTCTAATTCCTGTCCTGAGTCAAAATACATTTTATAAACTTAGTGCATTGATAACATTCATAAAGATTGTTTCAGAATATGAATTTAAGAAAGGGTTTTATACTAGAAAAGAGTTTTAGAAAGTTATAGGTATGGAAATATACTTTATTATGTAAAGTTAGAAGTAAAAAAATTGTTTCTGTATGAGAAAACATTTTTATGGAAAATAATATTCTGTACTAAGGTCCAAGATGAAAGAGAGGACAAAACTAAGGATGTAAACAGGCTGTAGAATATCTAAATAAGTTGCAGAAGTTTTATGGAAGGTAAGTCTCAGAAAGTATGTGTACATAATTAAACCAACTATGATCACCACAGTCAAAATTATTAAATTTTAATGTAGTAACATGAAGCAATGTCTGAAACGTTGCTTTGCTCTTATCCATCAAGATAATTTTCTTGTGTCTATTAGGTTTTGTTCCTTAAGAAAACTAAGTCTTAAAGGATCACGGTTTATACTTGTTTTAAACTCTTTTAAATGATTACTTTGTAAGTAGTTAAATAAATAACTGTATATTAGATTATTACAGTATAGTTAATACCCTAAATATATGCAACTAGAGATATGTATACATTTGAAAACTATGTATGTCTGAGCCTTGTCTAAGTGTTATGTAAAATTTGTAAAATGGAAATCTATGTACATTTATTGGAAAGGTACCCAATAAGTGCAGTCTTTTATACATTTTACTTGACACAGAGAGCCACACTGCCATTTGATGACCTGACTTATATATGTGCCCTTTGATTAAGTAATTTCTGATTATTAACACTGTTTTCTAAATATATAAGATCTATATATAAGATCTAAGGTTATCCTTTGATATTTTTCTAGTACTGCTAAATAATGCAGACATGTGATTATTTTACCATACACCATATATTCTATATTTTACTTTAAAAGTTTAACGTAGTTAATTTAAGGACATCTATGGAATTGTGACACTAAATATTACTGGATTCTTTGTATATTAAATGCATTTATGTTCCTCAAGCATACAAGCCCTTTAAAATATAAAACTTGTGAGAGTACAAAGTTATTGTTCTCCAAACTAAAATTGTATCAATAGTCTCTTTCAGATTTATATAAAAATAACATATTTGGTTGGTATTTATTTATGTCATATAATGTTTTATAACTGGATAAAGGTAACTTGTCAATAAGTTGTATAAAAATGCTGCATTACTCCTTATAATGAGATGTGAATGTAAATGTATTTTTGGAAAGTAATAAGGCGAGCCTGATTTTCTTGAAGGTTGACAATTGAAGTGTGGTTTGCCACTTTTTCCATGAGTAGGAAGTTTGGAACTCTCTTGTCTTTCTGTTTGATTCATGTTTCAGATGTAATGTCATATTATGTTAACTGATATTCAATAGACTCAGAAAACTATATGTGAGAATTTTGTAGAATGATATTTCTTAAAAAGGCAAAGATCAGCTTTAGAAACAAAACACTTTAAATTTTGTGAAGTGGCTAGCTTCACCTGAGTCAGATCTCTGCCGCTCATCCTTTTCCATGTTATAATAGCTCAAAAGTAGGCTAGAATTAAGCATATTTAAAGTTATGTTGAAATGATAGATTTTTGTTGTTGTTATAAATATTACTATGATCTCAAAATAAATAGGGGATATAATGCAAAACTTGAGTAAAAGTTGAGGAAAATTTTAAAAGCTATTTAGATTTGTAAAAAAGTTTTAAGATAAGGTAAAACTTGTATGTAAATGTGGGGCTTTGTAGAGGATAGATAGATACCAAAGATGCTTTAATGTTTGTGTTTTATTTTCTTTGTAAAATTTTATAACTGTTGCTAGTTGGTACTTTTGCAGAAGTACTACTTTTAATAGAAAAACTTGAGCTAATTTAAGACAATAAACCATCACGATAGAATATAATGCTACATCCTAGTATTAATACTGATTCAAATTAAATGGAAGAGGCAACTGTAAAATTATAGATGCTGGAGTTATAATCCATTATTTCCACTTTAAGACTCCTGAAAGTGGCCTGCCACATGTTTAAAACAAAAACAACAAAATTGTGGAGAACAATTCAAGGAAGTAAAAGGGCCACTGAAAAGCAGCCAATATTTTGGCCTTTGCACTCTAAGGTCAACCAGGACACTGAGAATGACAGGAATCTTTTAAGGGTCCTGCAACTCCAGTGAGTCACCACCTGATCAGGGAGATTGAGAGCACCCTAGAGAACAAGAAGCCAATCAGCTCATTCTTTAAAAAGGAGTGTCACTTCCAAAGGAAGCCACATATGGTCAGCAAGATCCTGACTCATCCTGAAGATGACACAACTGGTATAGGAAAGCTAAAGGAGCTAAAAGGCTTCTCATGCTTTACCAAGAGTGATCTCTGAAGCATCTCAGTTGATGCTAAGGGTAAACAAGAACAAGGTCAGTTTTGACCAACTTGATCTTAAGCACCTGGCAGGAGAATATGACCAAAGCACAGTCATACATAGACATTTAAAAGGAAAGACAATATATTCTTTCTTTATGTAATTTTAAGATGTGCACTTGTGTCAACTCTACCAAAAGTAAGTAAAGCTAGAGGATATAAAGCAATGATTCTTATGTGGGAGTACCTGTCAATAACTATCACAAAGGACTCTAGCATCACAAGTTTGACCTGAGTCAATTTGAGCCTGATTTTGAGAGGGGGCAAAAGGATAGTCAGTGTATATAATGAATGATTGGGTCCAGAAGACAGATGCTGGTTCAACAGGAAATAAAATACTAATACCCCCAGGACACTTCCTCTCATCAGCTATATGTGAGAATTTTTTAGAAATTTTGCCAAAGTCACCTGCCTCCAGGGAATTGTTCCTCCAAGACAAAGCATTGTTAATGACTACTTCCTGGGTGACTCTCTTCCTGCCTTTCTGAGCTGATATGGAAAATAGAGAGAGGTACCCCCTGGGCAACTCATCCCAGGCTTTTGGTTGTCTAGGCAAGAAAAGATGGGGAGGGGACATGAGAAGAAAGTAAACCTAAAATCTGTAAAAGGTGCAAGACATCCACTGCCTGGGGCACCAGCTCAGGACCCCCTCTTCTCTAGAAGAGTCTTTCTCTCCCTTGACCTTCTTTCCTTTAAATAAAACTTTATTACACTTGCCTCAGTGATTCTCAGGTGTTCAGTCTTCAATAGCAGGGGAACAAAGACCTGAAACTTATTTTCAAGACTGGTTTCAATTTCATAGACATACAATTCTTACTAAACTCCTCACAGAAAAACTTGATCTGTTTTTCACTGGTGTGATTATGAGTTACTGTCTTCATGGTTTTCAGAGCCTGGCTGAAATACTGAGAAGTGTTTGTGCAAATTGGTGTACAACAAAGTATTACTTTGCTGTCTACTATATTGCCAACCTAGCCTTGTATAGTCACCTGCCAACTACCCCCATGGACCACTGAACTGCCTTGATGTAACAGTGATCTATCTCATTCTTTGAATATAGCTACTGAGGCTTGTTTTAAAGTGGACAGGCTTTTCTTTTTCTCTTCTTCCTCTCCTATGCCCTAACCTTGGGAAAAACAGGATTACATTTTCCTCATCCCAGGTTCACTTATCTGTCTTTGACCAAACAACCAACAAGACAAACAAGTATTTTGGACCTTAGTGATGGAACTAACTAGAAGATCTAGGAAATGGCTACCTCCTAAATTTACAAGTGAATCACAGTCTCCCACCCACCAGGGAACATCTGGAATGAATCAAAACCTTCTGTTCTCACTGAAGGGTTGAATCTCAGCCTCTGGGACAGTAATCTCCTATGTTTCTAATTTGCTAGAAAAAAAAAAAAACACAAAACCTTCTTTTTCTGTTTTCTCAAAACCATGTCCTCATTATTAGATAGGCATCAGGGACAAGGACTAAGCTTTTGGTAAAAAAAAAAAAAAAAAAAATGCTTTCTTAATTTGTGTGAGATTGTCTTCTTTATTAACTTCCACATAAGTCTTATGTCTGACCTCTAAAGGTAAATAAAGCATATTAGCAAGATATTACATTCAAGAGATAGAGGGGGATGCAGTATATTCAGTAAAATACATTTAGAATATGATATGTTCTTCACCTCCAACCTTAGTGATTCAAGGTAACCAGTATATCAAACTGTTAGAAATCATATGGTCAAAGATACCAATTTAACTTTTTGCTTTTCTTTTGAGAGAGAGAGAGAGAGAGAATTTTTAATATTTATTTTTTAGTTTTCGGCGGACACAACATCTTTATTTGTATGTGGTGCTGAGGATCTAACCCGGGCCGCACACATGCCAGGTGAGCGCGCTGCTGCTTGAGCCATATCCCCAGCCCCAATTTAACTTTTTTTAACCTATCATTTTCAAAACTTAACTTACAATGAAATATTTTTATTAAAGAAATTTATGTTAACTCAGTTTTATAATTGTAGCTCCTAGTAACCACTGAGAAATTCTGGTGAACAAATAATGCAGAACACATGCATGTGTAAATTTCAGCATTTTAAATAATGATTATGACTCTGAAAAGATTTCTTTTCCCTCTTAATTATATGATATAGATCTAGTATTCCAGTAGCATGGTTTAAGCCAAACAATAGTCCTTTTCTTTCATTCCAGTTTCTCTATCTACCTCTTAAAAGAAGATATCCTCAATTTCCAACATTTTTGAAAAGTGATTTGTTTTGTAATTAGCAAAGATTTTTCTCTTTTCTATTGCTTATTAGTATAATTTTTGGGAAAGTATATCTTTAAATCTCAGTAAATAAAATAATTTGTTCAATATACTTATTCATTTGGCAAATACTTACTATATATCGGGAATTTATCTAGGTTCTTAGATTATAGAATTGAACAAAATATCCCTTGTCTTTATGGGGCTTGGATTCTAGCAATAGGAGGTGAAAGATAAATAATAAATAAAGCCAAT